TTTAGTGTAACCTGATGTACTTAAATAACTAAAATAAAAATGAATGAAAACTATATAGACAAAAAATAAAACAAAATAAAAATGAATGAAAAATGTATAGACAAAAAATAAAACAAAATATAACAAAAATGACAAAAACACAACAAAATGACTAAAATGGAAATTGTAAAAATAAAAACATTATTCAAAATATTAATAAAAACTTTAATAGTATCTCAGTGATACTACAAAAACACTGCCAGAAATATCAAACTATATTCAAACTATCATGGCCAAGATGGCAATATGTGCAATCAAAAGCTTTTTATTTGAGCTCAGAGAAGACTTAACACTTTCTGTCAAGCTCAGAATAGCTCTGTATTGACTGACGTGTGTCTGTTTTTATTTCTCACTAGGAATTTTGGCAGAAACTGAAGTTTGCCGAGCACTGAAACTTGTTTATCTGCAGTGTTTAATGTGCTTTTCAGCATCTCTGGTTGAATGAAGGAAGCGATCAATAGCTCAGCTAATACTAGCTCTTCATACACTTGAGTTTATTCGGTTATTGAGTTGTGCTGAGTTCTGCAATCTCCTGCGCTGTCAGATCCATCAGCTGAGAGATGCACGAGATCTCCGTTTAGATTCAATACAAAAAAACAAAAAAGACATATTAATATTCCAGCAGTGTGGCGCTGAATGAGTCTGCATGATATCAGACACAAACTAAAGCCTGTCGATCGGCCTCATCACTCGCTAAACAGATTGAACGAGACATCAGACTGAACTCTCATCAGAGATCAGATATGAGGCTCTGCAGAATCATCCATAACAGCTGCTTTATTGAGCTCTCAGTCTGCTGAACGTCACTGAATCAATCTGAGCCAATCAAGAGTTCATTTGTATTCTGGTGCTTCTTTTAAAAGACGCTAAATATTCAGGAATATGATCAGTTTAACTGCACTGACACTATTAGATGAGAACAAAACTAAATTGAGCTGGATAATGTTCTCAGAACTTTGGCTAATGTTCTGGCAAGTTTCCCTCAAAGTTATGAAGATAATAGAACTGTGGCATTAATAGAATGTACGTCCAAAATATCTGGTTTTTAATAATGTTCTCAAAACATCAAAACAAAAACATTATTCATACATCATTCATGGAACGTCTTTTCTGAAATGTTCAAAAGTTGCTACTTGATTCAGAACGTTCAGTGAACTTTCAATAGTAACATTCTCATAATGTTCAGAGAACATTCAGTAACATTCATGTAAATGTTAGCAAAACTTTCTTTTTTGTTCGCTGGATTGCAATCGCATTGTGTAGAGCTGCTTTATAGCGAAATCAAATTGATTTCATAATAGACCAAGATATTAAACTGAACTGAATCAACATTGAATTGAATAATGATGCTATTTTCTTTGAGATGCTGTAATTGAATTGCAACGTTAATAGGCTACTGTTATTTTCCCAGGTAACAAAATTTGTTCTAAGAACGTTTTGCTGATGTTTCCATTTAGCTATAAAAACATTCTTTTTTAAAGATCTCTGAACATTTTGTTGGTTGTGTGAATGTTAAGGAAACATTCCATTTGATCATTTAGCTTTTGAATGTTCTCTGAATGTTCTGAAACAAGTAGAAACATTTAAAAAATGTTAGACAAATGGCCAACTGAAACGTTTCCGGAAAAAAAAAAACATTCCATGAACAATGTATAAATATCATTTTTGTGGTATCGTTTTGAGAACATTTACTTGTGAACATGTTATTTCTGAATGTTCTCTGAACGTTCCAAAAGTCCAGTTTATTTAAAAACGTTTTGAAAATGTTTTTTGGTTATTTGAATGTTAAGAGAACGTTCCTCTTTTTCAATTTGGCAAACATTATGGGAATGCTACTTTTGAATGTTCTCTGAACGTTCCAAAACAAGTAGAAACGTTTAAAATATGAACATCCAACTAAAACGTTTCAGAAAAAAAAAAAAACATTCCAAGAACAATGTATAAATAATGTTTTTGTGCTAATGTTTTGAGAACGGTATTAAAGACCAGATAACTTTGAATGAACGTCCTGTTAACGTTACTGGAAGAATGTTTGTTCATAAATTTGATCTATAATAATCTGTATTGTATAAAGCATTATATAGGCTAAAGAAATGAGGTGAATCTCTTGTTATTTACAGTGGTTTTGTTTCACAGGTGTTGTGGTCGGGAGGGTACATGGATGCGGTGGACGGGACGCTCCACATATCCGATCAGGAGCTGGCGTCCATGAGGAAGCTAGAGCTTCTGGAGGTCCTGTGTGAGGACGTGCTTCCCAGAAGCCTCTCGGAGATCCAGCGGCTCAGTGCTCAGCTGGAGCTGCGGCGTGGCTCGCTGCGGATGGACGACTTTGAGCGCACCGTCCTCACGATGGTGTTCACTGCTCAACAACTCCCACAAACCAGCCCCGGCCACCAGAGAGAGCTGTGGGCGAACACACTCCTGCGACTCTATAAAGCCATTAAAGGAGACCTGCGGCCTGCAGATGACTGACAGACAGACACTGAGAGGAGCGGCCCACATCACATCAGTCCACTGCAGTGCTTCTCAACCCGGGGCTTGGGTTGCAGGACTGTCCCGGCTAACAGGCAACGTTCTGGCAAGCTTCTCTGAAAGTTATGAACAAACGTTCAGTCGCATGAATAGTAGCCTACATTCTTTAATAAGAGTATCAAAACATTAGAACGTTATATATTCGTTGTTCATGGATGTTTTTCTGAAACATTTTAGTTGAATAAATGATCAAATGGAACATTCCCTCAACATTCACTTAACCAAGAATTTTTTTTTTTTAAACATTAAAAAAAAAACATGTTAGGAATGTTGAGAGAACATTAGAAAAACTTGAACATAATTTTGTTGGCCGGGTTCTGATCGCAGATATTAGAGGAAAAACAATGCTAAATGCAAATAATAAATGCATATAATCATATAGAGTCAAATTAGGTGACGTCAGTAATTGCAATGCAATTTATATTTATTTTACATATTGTTTATCAAATTAGAAATAAATCATTTGAAAATAAATGATTAGGCCTATAAATGTATTTTAACTTGAAAAAATAAATCTGTAAAATAAACATTAATCGTTTAGATGGCAACTTTTAATTCTGTATTTCTGTTATTGTATTTTTCACAAATAAGTTTTTAAAATTCTAAAAAATAAAATAAAAACAAAACACCTCATTCTCAAAAAAGTACATTTATTTCTCATAATACTTACAAAATCATTTGAAAATCATTCGAAAATAAATAAATATAAATATCATATTTGATCTTGATTAACAATAAATTGGTAAAATAAACAGATTTAGCAACTTTTTAATTCTGTGAACCTATTATAGTATTTTTCCACAAATAAGTTGTTAAAAACACAAATAAAAATTCTTCAAATAAACTAACAAAATAAAAACAAAACACCTCATTCTCAAAAAAGGTGAACGATACTTCACAAAATAAAGAATGATACAGTCCAAACGTGCAACAACACATACAAATAATGTTTTTTATAGTGGAAGAAGGTTCTTTAGATAATTAAAATGTTCTTTACACTAAGAAGAAATGGTTCTTTTCATAAGAACTGATCACTGAAAGGCTCTTTAGAGCTCTCAAAGATGGTTTTTCTATGGCGTCGCTGTGTAAAATCTGGTTCCCCAAGCAAACCTAATTGAGAAGCACTGACTGTACTGGACTTCTCTAATTACAGTGTGTTCAGACGAATATGAGGTGCATCTTAAGAACTGTGTTTGCATAAGTTCACCTTCACAATGACAGATCACAGTCTTTGCATAAACGTGTTGTTGGTGGAGCTGATGGCACATTATGCTGCAGAATGAGCTCTGGTGTCCTTGCAAGGCTTGTCATTTTTCCTGAGATAATGCATCTCCTAATAGAATCATTATCACGTCCTTGACCGTGTTTCCCTGGCATCTCACCTAGAAATATTCCCAGTGGCACATCAAAACCTGCTCTACGCTCGGCTGAGATCTGTGTTCAGGAGAAAACATTGTATGTGACTGATATTAAAGTTAAAACTTCACAGTGTCTTCACTGCATTAAACGGGCCCCCTACATGAGACAATAAAGGACTGGGGTTTTCATTTCACCTGTGTTTTATTGAACACTTCAGGCAATGTTTCAGCATCTGCCACCTGAGCAAAAGCGTTAAGACACACTTATGAGACAGAGATGATGATGATGATGATGATGAACAAATGATCAAAACCCAGTGGATCACACTCATGAATTCTTCCAAATGTGTGTGTTTGTCACGTGTCAATAGCGCCATCTGCAGGCCACGATTATAATAGTTTCGCGGCATTATAATAAGATTATAGAAATAGGCTAGATTTGCAAGCTTTTTTCGTTTTTCATATCAGATGTTTGATTCTCAGGTTTATGTCACTTTCTGATGTAAAAATTACTTTTATAAGAAGTTGTTTGAATAATGAATATGTACAATTGGATGTTTTTTAAATAAATAAATAAATGTTATTTGTAATAGGGAAAATTCTGCAAAATAAATACAATAAAGGTGTATCTTTCAGGTGATTCATGATTATATAGATAGCTAGCAAGCTAGCTACCTACATTAAACTAAATAAAAATCACACTAAACGAATCTCAAAGCTTACATTGCCTAATATTATAAATAAATGCAATATACGTACATCGTTCTGGTGATTAATGATAGATAGATAGATAGATAGATAGATAGATAGATTAAACGAAATAAAAATGACAATAAAAGGTTCTAAAGGTTTACACTGTCTGAAGGGTTACAGTAACATGAAATAAACAAAGTTAACTTGCACACATTTATTAAACGGGTTTAAGCTAAACATTGGAGGTGTGTTATGTATTCATTTTAGGGGTATATTTACGTGTTATATGTATTTATCTAGGTTTGCGATTTTATCGGTTTTATCCTCACGTATTTTTGAGGCGGATAATATGTTTTGATCAGGCACGTTTGGGGACGCCGAATTCAGGGGTCCTAATATTGAAAACTATCAAGCGCCGTCATTTACAGCTCAAACTTATGAATATTAACACAAGCACATGAGGTAAGACTGACATTTCATTCAAAACACAAGTGTTCAAATAACTGACGGAAAATCTCTTTGTTTCTACCGTTTCCGTCTGTTTGCGGCATAAACGTGTTGATATTTGACCTATGTGCGGCCTCAAACAGCTAACGGCTAATGCTAATTCAGTTAAAACATCAAATGGCTTCATAAAAATGATCGCATTTCTGTTATATGTGAACTGCATGTTATAATGTTAAATTATGTTGAGATGACAGTGACAGGCAGTATTTGTCTGGTTTATTTGGCCGGCTTTCGTTAATGCAGCAGTTGCTGATTGTTTTTATTTGGTCGATGTGTTTGTTCCTTGTTTTTTTTGTTTGTTACTGAGAGTCTTTATTAGGTCAGAGAACGGCATACAAAGTAGGATACGTGTGTGAGTGTGTGTGTGTGTGTGGTTTGAGCCTGCGAACGGAACCGGAATGTGGCTGAATTTGAGCCTGCAGCTGCATGTAGATCAGACATCAGAGTCTAGTGTTAATGAAGCACACACCTGAAGCTGATCACCTGAGCGTGATTGACAGGTGTGTTTCAGGAGCGGCACGTGCTGAGACCACCTTACCTGGACTACGCAGTATTTCTGCATTACATGTATGAAATAAACAAATCAAATAACCACGGCATGGCCAAAATGTGGGGTATACAACCAGAGCAGACTGAGATGTTATATCCCATAATGCAGTAGTACAGTACAAGTACAAGTTATCCAGAGTGACTGACATTTTTAAAGGGGTCATATGATGCTTTTTTAAAGATCATTATTACTTAAGAAAAATACAAATGTTTTAAGAAACAGTATGCTGTATACACAACAATGATTTTTAATGAAAATTGTTTTATATTTTATTATTTGCAGTATAATTTTTCAGTGGCAAATTGTTTTCAAAAACGTTAAAAAAAAAGTATTCCATGTGCAAAATTTGATTAAAAAAAGTGATTTTTTTAAAAGTGTGTCATATGCAACATTTGATTACAAGTGCTAAATATATTTTTTAAATGCTGTATAGAGTATAATATTTTAAATGCAAAATTTAGTTTAAAAATGCAGAAAAAATGTAAAACAGCATGCTGTGTACAGTATACTGTATTCAATACAAATAATTTTTAAAATGTGTGCCATATGCAAAATTTCATAAAATATTTTTGTATACAGTATATTTTTCAATGCAAAATTTGATAAAAAATGCAAAATAATAAAAAAAAACGTATACAAAACACAGCCCTTGACTTTCTATGTTTGTATTTATTAACAGATACGGTTTTATTGTTCTGTAATGTTTTGCAGTAGCAGTATGCCTGCTGAACGTAAGAAGTCCGTCAACATGGAGGAGAGAGAGACGGGCTCCTTCAGCAACAAGGACAGAGACGCAGACAGACAGGCCGCCGCGTCCCGCGACAAGAGCAAAGACGAGACCAAGATGAGCGCGAAGAAGGACGGAGGCAAGACGGCGGAAGATAAGAAGAGACGGGCTGAGGAGGACAAGAGGAAGAGGGAGGAGAAGGAGCAGAAGAAGAAAGAGGAGGAGAAGCAGAGGGCAGAGGAGGAGCAGAAGAAGAAAGAGGAGGAGGAGAAGAGACAGCAGGAGGAACAGGAGAAGAAGCTCCTGGAGGAGGAAGCCAAACGACAGAAAGAGGAAGAGGCTGCACAGCTCAAGTAAGAGGGCTGGACAATGTAGCACAAATTTCTCTGTATTTTTTCCAAAACACTAAAGGAACATTTAAGGTCATATTTATTTCAAATCAAATTTACATATTTACCAATATAAAAATATGAAATATAAAATATGACTAAATATAAATATAAAAAATGTAAGCTTCCTACAGAAAGTTGTGATTGTTGCAACAAGAAACATAATTTTCAATATAGCATTCTGATTAAAGCTCCACGTTTTATATGTTGTTGTATTAAACATTTTTTGTTTATATATTTTGATGTGTTTTTTTAAAACCAGTCCAAATTGTTACCTGAAAAAATTAATTTGAACTAAAATAAAATCTTTAAAATGCAATTCATCTAGTTCCAGGAATAAAATAGGAAAATATAACAATAAAAACTCATTTAATCAAAATGCGCGGTTTTGCTTTGCAGGGTTATTATAGTTCACTAAAACTAAAGCCATAATAAACATTTTATTACTTGAAAAAAAATAAAGATTAACTGAAATAAAATAAAATATTTAAAAACTTCAAATTCATCTAGTTCCAAGAAAATTGCATTTTCATTTAATTTTCCTTGATGTACTAAAATAACAAAAACTACAAAATGAAATAAAAAATATTAAAACTAAATGGACATATTGATAAAACAAAAAAACTGATAAAAATGACAAAAACACACAAACAATTTTGAAACTTAAAAAAAAATTCAAATAAAAGCAGAAAAAAATTTACATTGATTTCAGTTGTTAATAAAAATATAATAGCATCTCATTGCTACTAAAATGCTTTGTAATCACAGTTTGTTCTTCGTGTCTCATCAGGGAGAAAGAGGAGGTGGAACAGCTCCAGCAGGAGGCGTGGGAGCGACACCACGGCAGAAAGGAGCTGCGCGTGAAGAACCAGCACGCACCGGAGACGCGTCCCGAGGAGGCCTTCTTCAGCCGCCTGGACTCCAGCCTGAAGAAGAACACGGCGTTCGTCAAGAAGCTCCGCACGCTCACGGAGCAGCAGCGCGGCTCGCTGTCGCAGGACTTCGACTCGCTCAACCTCAGCAAGTACATCGGCGAAGCCGTGAGCTCCATGGTGGAGGCCAAGCTGAAGATCTCGGACGTGGGCTGCGCCGTTCATCTCTGCTCCCTCTTCCACCAGCGCTACACTGATTTCGCACCGCATCTCCTCGCCGCCTGGAAGAGACACTTCGAGGCCAGGAAGGAGGAGAAGTCGCCCAACGTGAGCAAACTGCGGACCGACCTGCGCTTCATCGCCGAGCTCACCATCGTGGGTCTGTTCACGGATAAAGAAGGGCTGTCGCTCATCTACGAGCAGCTGAAGAACATCATCGGCGCCGACCGAGAGACGCACACTCACGTTTCCGTCATCATCAGCTTCTGCAAGCACTGCGGAGACGATATCGCCGGGCTGGTGCCACGGAAGGTCAAGAACGCGGTGGAGAAGTTCAGCTCGTCCTTCCCTCCCTGTCAGATCATTAATGCAGAGAAACAGCAGCCTTTCCAGAACCTGCTGAGAGAATATTTCACCTCTCTCACCAAACACCTGAAGAAAGACCACCGAGAGCTGCAGAACATCGAGAGACAGAACAGGTCAGTCTGTATATAGACCCTTTTCACATTTCAAGGTTCACAGAAGCAGAAGTCTTCCATTTACACAATGTTAATAACTGTGGAAATGTGTCATAACTGTCTGTAAAAAGGGTCTGTTAGGGGTGGGAATTGTTTGCAATCTCACGATTCGATTTGATTTGATTATTGACGCCACAGAACTACCTTCTAGAGGCCATAATTTCTGGAAGTTTTTGTTCTGCATCTTTCATAGCATTTAATGTGAGTCTCTAAGCATGTGTGCATCTTCTTTTATGTCAATTTCATATATTTAATTAATGAATTCAGTAGAATAATATGACACAATCTGACTGTAAAATATATAAAAAAGTAATAAACAAAAAAACGTATTTCAGCTAGCTGACAAGGCAGCATTTCTCATTTTATTTAGATTATATACGAAAATAACAAAAAATGAAATAAAGAGTAAAAACATAGACATTTAAAAAAATAAAATAAAATAAAATTGACAAAAATACCCAAGAAAGTTACTAAAACTTTAACTAAAATGAAAATAGAAAAATAAAAATTTTAATTAGAAACTATAATAAAATAAAACTAATAAAAATTACCAAAACTTTCAAATTAAACTGAAAGCAGAAAATATGAAAATAAAATCTAATAAAAAATATGAATAAAAGTATAATAAAATTAAACTAATAAAAATATTGAAAACACTCAACAAAATGATTAAAACTTTAACTAAAATGAAAACAGAAAATATAAAAATAAATCTAATTCAAAATATTAATAAAAACTATAATAAAATAACACTGATATTTACACAGGCTGTTTAATTAAACTCATAACTGGCATAAATGCATTTACTTAAATTAATCCCTATCTAATCCATTTACTTAAATCTTAATGAGTGAGTCATTGAATCATTAACTCAATGATTCGTTCAGTCCAGCTGATCCCTTCAGAAAGTCACTCCTCTTTTTGAGGAGTTATTCACTCAAGCGATTCATTACAAAATGCAGATTCAGAAACAGTGCTGTGTGTTGCTCTGAGATGTGCTTCTGCTTCAGCTTTGGAATTATTTTCATTGATTGCATTTGAATAGTAATGATAATGTTTTGTGTCTCTGTGCAGGCGTATCCTGCACTCTAAAGGAGAGCTCAGCGAGGACAGACATAAGCAGTACGAGGAGTTCGCCACCTCCTATCAGAAGCTGCTGGCAAACACGCAAACGCTGGCCGATCTGCTGGACGAGAACATGCCTGAACTTCCTCTGGACAAAACCGTCCAGGAAGGTGCGACAGTCGGCACGACTTCATCTGTTGAGAGTTTGTCTTGGCATGCGCATGATTTTTTGTATGGCTCAGCTGAAAAACTAAATTCGAATTTTGTACTTAAATATGATCAAAATAACCAATTATAATTAAGTTGCTTCATCAACTATAAACAAAACAGCATCATGTATTTATGCATAGTTTAATACAAAGGGCGATATATGTTAAATTGCATGAATTTTACATGGCTTTCTAAACATGTGGCTCTTTTGTGCGAGATGCAAGTGCAACAGTAATAAATGTCCGTCTAGAAAATGCGCGAAATATGTTTTCTGTGTGAACGGCTTGGTTTCAGTTTTGATGTAAACAAGATCTTCTCCGCATTGATGTTCTCTTTTTCCGATATATTTTTAATGAACAACGCAGCAGTGCTTCCTGACGCACACCTAAAATTCGAATGCAACGTTTTTGAATTTTTTTAAATTCGACGAATATTCAAAATTAGATTTTTTTTTTGATAGCCCTAATTCGTTGTTGATTTGTGTGGCAGAACACGGTCCTGGCATCGATATCTTTACGCCGGGGAAACCGGGAGAGTACGATCTGGACGGAGGGATCTGGGAGGACGAGGACGCGCGTAACTTCTACGAGAACATGGTGGATCTGAAGGCGTTTGTACCTGCTATCCTCTTCAAGGACAACGAGAAGAGCAGCCAAACCAGCAAAGGTACTGAATGCTTTCACTATTACTTATATACTGTCATAGTATTTATTAATATTTAGAATTAGCCTACATTTTTCCTTTTTAGTAATTGTTAGTAATTTCCTTTTTAATAGCCCCCCCCCATTTAGCATTTATTTAATTTCAGTTGTTGTAATGTTAGTACCAATGTTGTTTTAGTATCATTGAGTTATAGATTATAGTTTTTTATTAATATTATAAATCAGTTTTTATTCATACATTTTCTGTTTTACATTTACATTTTAATTTTAGTTAGTCATTTTTACTAATTTTATATTATTATAGTTTTTATATTTTGAATTAGTGTTTATTTTTACATTTTCTGTTTTTATTTTCATTCTAGTAAAATTAGCATTTATTTTGTTGGGTGGTTTCGTCATTTTTAGTAGCTTGTTTATATAGTTTTTTTTAAGTATGTGAAGCATTATGTGGTCTTTGTTGTTTGTGTGCAGAAGCACAAGAGGGAAACAGCACTGAGGAGTTGGAGATGGAGTTGGAAGCGCTGGACATCACTGATGAGCCGATAGATCTGGACGTAGCCGACGAGACTGAAAGTGAAGAACTGGCCAAAAAGTTACTGGATGAGCAAGGTAAACTTGCTTCCTCAATGAAACACACTGATCAATGCACCTCCAAAACCTCCAGAGGGCACTGAATCTTTCCAGCAGCCTGACTTTATCTGTATTTTGCTTTTTTTCCCCCTGTAATTCTTTATATGTGCAGATTCATTATCATAAGTCAGTGTTTGAATTGTCATGTCATTTGTTTGTGTGTGTGTGTACAGAGCAGGAGGATGAGGAGGCCAGCACCGGCTCTCATCTCAAACTCATTGTGGATGCTTTCATCCAGCAGCTCCCAAACTGCATCAACAGAGACCTGATTGACAAGGTAATGAGTTAAAACACACAAAACACACACACAGACTCACACAGGTTTGTTTTTGTGAATTGTGGGGACATTCCATAGGCGTAATGGTTTTTATACTGTACAAACTGTATGTGCTATTGCCCTACACCAACCCTACCCCTAAACCTACCCCTTACAGGAAACTTTGTGCATTTTTACTTTCTCAAAAAAACTCACTCTGTATGATTTATAAGCCTTTTGAAATATGGGGACATGGGGCAATGTCCTCATAAATCACCTTCTCCTTGTAATACCTTCATACCCATGTCATTAACAAATTTGTGTCCTCATATGTCACAAAAACGCGCGCGCACACACACACACACACTTCAAAATAAAACTTCTTCAAATGTAATTTTTATTCTAATTTTTTCATTGAATACTTTTATTTTATTTCATGTTTAGATTTTAAGTTTTTATTTTTGTATGTTTTTTAAAGCTTTACATTAAATACTTTTATTTTGTTAGTTTTTTCAGATTTCATTTTAGTTTTAATAATTTTATTGTGTTTTTATCATTTTATTAGGTTATTAATATTTCTATTTATCTTTTTTTTTTTTTTCAGTTCTATTATTAAGTTTAGGTTTTTCATTGAACACATATTTTTTGTTAATGTTTTCATTTTATTTTAGTCATTTTGTTATGCTTTTATCATTATGATTGTTGAAAATACTTTTTAAAATGTATATTAAATGTATATTATTTTTATATTATTTCAGCTTTATTTCAATTACCTAAAACCTTTTTTTTTTTTTTTATCACATTGGGCTGATGGGTTGTAATGCCTGTTTTGTGTTCAAACGTGTTCCTGTGTGTTTTCAGGCTGCTATGGACTTCTGTATGAACATGAACACCAAGTCCAATCGCAGGAAGTTGGTTCGAGCTCTTTTCACGGTGCCCAGACAGAGGTGTGTGTGTGTGTGTGTTTACAGCATCTGTAGATGTGAACACTAGATGGAGCCAGGGCTCTTGAGTTTTCAGTCATTTGATCTCATCAGGTGTTCATTCAGATTGGTTAAATGGCTGTGCATTAATAATTTTACATCTGTGTGTGTCAGGCTGGATCTGTTGCCGTTCTACGCTCGTCTGGTGGCCACTCTACACCCGTGTATGTCTGACGTGGCTGAAGACCTCTGCTCAATGCTCAAAGGAGATTTCAGATTTCATGTGAGTGTGTTTCTCATTAGCTAAAGGCTATCAAATGAGGTATTTTAGTACCAAAACAAGCTATTTTAGAATCAGGATGCCCTAAAATGCTGTCTGGGTCTGCAAGTCACCAGAAACCAGTTTCACACAAATAACACATGAAAGTGAGTGTGTGTGTGTGTTTCTTACAGATCAGAAAGAAGGACCAAATCAACATTGAGACCAAGAATAAGACGGTGAGGTTCATCGGGGAGTTGGCCAAGTTCAAGATGTTTTCCAAAACGGACGCGCTGCACTGCCTCAAGGTGAGCTGATGACACCTACAGTGTGTACTAACTAGGGATGTCAGCAGTAGTGCTTGACTATGAAGTCCATGCTAAAATAAAACAGCTAATGATAGCAGTCTCTGTTAATTTGATTTGTTTTTATTTAATATGTACTATAAATTAAAGAGGGAGTTCAATACAGTGTAACTATTTTATTTTTAATAACTATTAAAAATAATTTTTGGTCATTGAAATGAAGCTAAAATAAAATATAAATATTAGATGAAAAACTTAAACTTTAAAAGCTTTAAAACAAAATTAGAAATGTTAATGCAATTAATAAGGGACCTAACTGAAAACTAAACAAACTAACCAGCATTTTTATAGTTACCTATAACTAAAACTCAAACCATAAGAAAAACTTTTGTTGCTTGAAATAAAATTCAAATATTAAAAAATGATATATGTATTTCTTATTTTAACTTGAAATACTGAAATAGCTAAAAAAATTCTATAGACATAAAAACTATCTAGAAAAAAATTATAAAAATTACTTAAAAGAAATTAAAATAAAGATGCAAACAGAAAATATTCAAATTAAAATATATTCAAAATATTAACAAATATTACAGTATCTCAATGATACTAAAATTACATTGGAACGAACTGATAAAAAATAAATATGTTTAACTTGAAGTACTAAAATATCAAACTAAAACTGAATTTAAAACTGAAATGACAAAAAACACAACAAAATTACTAAAACTTTAACTAAAATTAAAATTGTAACAAAATATAAAAATACCCTAAATATTAATAAAAACTATAATAGTGTCTCAATGATGCTAAAATTACACTGGAACTAACTGATACATAAAATAATTTTAAATTGAAGTGCTAAAAGTACTAGGACTAAAACTGAAATAAAAAGATATTAAACATATTTAAAAAAAACTAATAAAATTAAAAATATACATAAAATTAATACAACTTTTTTTACAAAAAATTTAAATGAACTGAAAATATAAAAAACTTTATATTATAAATTTGTAATGTAATAATAGTATATTAGTAATACTAAAATAACACAGGTTCAGTAGCATTTTAGCTTTGCTGTGATATTAAAGTTCATGTGCTGATAACATTGACTGCTGAAACTTTTGTGTCATCATATCCTCAATACAGACATTTATTCCAGCATCTCTAACGCTCTGTGTGTTTGTTTGTGTTTGTGTGTGTGTGTGTGTGTGTGTGTGTTTGTGCAGATGCTGCTGTCTGATTTCTCTCACCATCATATTGAGATGGCCTGCACACTGCTGGAGACGTGTGGACGCTTTCTCTTCCGCTCACCGGAATCTCACCTGCGCACGAGCGTCTTACTGGTCCGTCTTCACACAAACAGACACACAAGCATGCAAACCTGCAGCCGCCCTCTTCATGCTGTTGATCGTGTGTGTGTTCACAGGAGCAAATGATGCGTAAGAAGCAGGCTCAGCATCTGGATGTGCGTTACGTGACGATGGTGGAGAACGCCTATTACTACTGCAACCCACCGCCGATGGAGAAGACGGTGCGCAGGAAGAGGCCGCCGCTGCAGGAGTACATCCGCAAACTCCTCTACAAAGACCTGTCCAAGGTCACCACTGAGAAGGTGCGTCACGTATGCGGTGGACGCAGGGGTACCGCATTTATTTTGTGGCCCATATATTATATAATATAACATATATTTATTCATTTGTGGCCAAAAGAAGCGTGAACATTAGGCAGTGTGATTGTAATTTTGCGTCAAATTTGTCACTCCTGACATTTAGCAGTGTGTATGTGGTCATTGTCCTATTAGTAGCTTGAAAATAAAACTTAAAGTTATTAAAATTGTGAATGAGTTATATACAGAAAGCAACCTTTATAATCACTGAAGCTGTCAAACACTTCAGTTCAGCGCTGTATAAATACAGTATATGTATATATGTATGTAATTTTTTTTAGAAAATACATAAATATACAATTATATTAATAATATATAAAATTATTATATTTTGTAAAGTTATAATACTAGTCTACATATTATATAAACAAATTTTACATATAAAATTTAAATCATAATACAATATATAAAATATAAAAATACTGCAATAACTAATATATTATGAAAAATTATTGTAAATACTTTAAAAACACATTAAAAACATGAATATATCAAAAATATCTTAAAATGTACATTTATTATATATTATTATAAAAGTATCTATTGCTTAATAAGTGTGTGTGTGTGTTATACTTTTATATATAGTAAAAGAATAAATGCATATATAGTAGAAAATACCTTAAAAAAGCAAAATGTAAAAATGTATGTATCTTATTATTATATAGTATTATTAAAGTATCTATTATTTAATAACTGTGTGTGTGTGTGTGTGTAGTAAAGTATAAATACAATGAAAACTTATAATATATAACATAACAATATATGTATATATATATGTATATATATATATTTATTTAGTTATTTATTGATAAAATGCACATCATTTAAATTAATTAATGTTTGTATTATATTTATTTTAGGCTGTTCCCAATCTACAAAGACACAAAAAACAAGCAGAATGCTGGAGGAGTGCATTGAGCTTTTACTTGTGTGTAAAATCAGTTTTGTTGTCTGTAGGTGTTGAGGCAGATGAGGAAGCTGTCCTGGCACGACCCTGATGTGAAGAGTTACCTGATCTGCTGTATGATCAACATCTGGAACGTCAAGTACAACAGCATCCACTGCGTGGCCAATCTGCTGGCAGGATTGGCAACCCATTACTTGATTGCATTACTTCTAGTCAAGTCAAGTCACTTATTTCTATAGCGCTTTATGCAATACAGATTGTTTCAAAGCAGCTTCACAGTAATAAACAGGAAAATTGTTATATTGCAGAAACATCATTAATTACAGAACATTAACATTATTATTACAGAAACATTGTTCAAACTTCTAAAATTCTGAACTGAATTTAATTTCAGCTGTAAAGCAGCTCTAAAAAAACAATAGTGTCATTAATCAGACCAATTCAGTTCAATGTTGATAAAATGTAGTTCAAATATTTAGTCCTAATATAAGATTTTTTTGCATTTAGTCATTATTTTAGTTCCAATTAAACACATTAAGTAAAAGCATTAACTCTTAATTACAGAAATGTATCTACACTACCAGTCAGAAGTTTTTAAATATTTTAATTTTTTAATGTTTTAAGCCGCTTCTGCTCACTAAGCCTGCATTTATTTGATCAAATACAGTAGGAAAAAGCTAAACAAATACAGTACAAATAGTGAAATAGTTTTACAATTTAAAATAGCTGTTTTCTATGTGAATATATATTAAAATGTAATTGATTTCTGTGATAAAAGCTGAATTTTCAGCATCATTTCTCCAGTCTTCAGTGTCACATGATCTTCAGAAATCATTCTAATATGCTGATTTGCTGCTCGAGAAACATTTCTGATTATTATCAATGTTGAAAACAGTTGTGCTGCCCAATATTTTTTGAAAACTATGATACATGGATTATTCAGGATTGTTTGGATTATTTGGATCTTTAGTTCAGTGTTGATTAAGTTTAGTACTAATATAGTAACTAATTCTATAGTAACTTCTAATTATAGTAACTAATTATGTGACATTAAAAAGAGAGGCGTTTAATTGCATTTGCACTTATAATAATAGAAAGCAAAATCATCAATGATGTCAACAACGTCATATGATGTAGATTCTAAGTCAGAATCAAAAAATGATTATCTAATGCAATTCTAATGCTTGGATTAGAGATTTGTAGATGCTTTAGATGTTGATGTGTGTTTGGTTCTCAGGTGAACCAGCCCAAGTTTAACCAGCGGCGGATCAGCAGCGCTAAGTTCCTGGGTGAGCTGTATAACTACCGTATGGTGGAGTCTGCCGTCATCTTCCGCACGCTCTTCTCCTTCACCTCGTTCGGTGTGAACACAGACGGTTCCCCGAGCCCGCTGGACCCCCCCGAGCACCTGTTCCGCATCCGCTTGGTCTGCACCCTGCTGGACACCTGCGGACAGTATTTCGACCGCGGCTCCAGCAAGAAGAAGCTCGACTGCTTCCTCATTTACTTCCAGGTGAGCGTTTGCCTTTGGACCAGCCAATCACAGACGGATGATTGTGTGCGACGTCTCCTGTGATTGGTGGAAAAACCTGGGCTGTCAATAGAATAAAGTCATAAATGTTGGCATCATTCTGAGCTCATGGATGATATTTCAGAATTGAATTTCAGCGATAAAAATGTATAGTTCAAAAGAAGAGCATTTATTTTAAAAAATTTTTTTGCAACATTATAAATGTCTTTTGATCAATTCAGTGCGTCCTTGATGAATGAAAGTATTCATTTCTTTTTTTTAACTTTTAATTTTTGAATGGTAGTGAATTATGGTTTCCACAAAAATACTGGGCAGCACAACTGTTTTCAACATTGATAGTAGTAATAATATTTCACAAATTTAACTGTTTTTACTGTAATTTTGATCAAATAAATGCAGCCTTAAAGAGCAGAAGAGACTTGAAAACATGAAAAAACTCTAATTATTCCAGGCTACAGATATGATGTTCAGTGCAGTGAAACGCTTTCTATTTGCGTGTGTTTTAGAGGTACGTCTGGTGGAAGAAGAGTCTGGATGTGTGGACTAAAGATCAGCCGTTCCCCATCGACATCGAGTACATGATCACAGACACGCTGGAGCTGCTGCGGCCCAGCTGTTCTTCTAGTTGTTCCGCTCATGTTTCTGCTCTCCCCGTCGAGCAGCATTCCTCACACAGACACTGGTTTGTTTCAGGCGTTTGGTCATTGACGCTTCACACCTGATGTGTGCTGAGAGAAAGACACATTCCTGCGGCAAGTGTAAGAGTATCAGTATTAAAGCAGCTCAGACCCAGAATAGCTCTTCAGGAATGCTGTCGTGTGTGTGTGTTTGTGTGTCTGTCATCCGGCAGGTTTTAAACCACAGTCATTCTGTAGTGCTGGTTTATTTTTATCCCTTGTGGTCTGGTTTGGTCAGTAGCAGCATTCCTGTGTGTGTGTCCAGGCCTGGAGAAAGACGGCCGCTCCTCCAGCGCCATGGGCGAGAACGAGCCTCTGGATGAGGAGGACGATGATGACGAAGACGAGAGAGGTGCGGAGACCGAGGAGCAGTCTGGAAACGAGAGCGAGATGAATGAACCCGAGGAGGAGGTGACTGTTCTCAGACGTGTGATTGACAGCTGTAAACCCCGCCTCCTCTCTCACTGCTCTTACACACAGTTTACTGATGAAGCGCAGAGATGAGAGACGCGACTGATGAGAGCAACAAACACACACCAGCACTAGTCACTACAAGATCAAAATGAAATTCATATGCAAAATAAAAAGCCACCGCTTGAATTTGATTGATTTTTCACATTTTAGATTTAATGGGTTAACATTTGCCTATAAATGTTTTTCATTTCAAATTAATTATTTTGATTAATATTAATGTAAATAAAAAATTTATTATATTGAAAACTTAAAATTTTATATAATGTATACAATTTATATAATAATTAATATATATATATGTGTGTGTGTGTGTGTGTGTGTGATTATAATTATTATATACATTTTATACAGTATATAAAATTATATTTACACATACAAATTATACATACTTATACATCTATTTAATATTAATTAAAATCAAAACCTTTTGTCTAGTGCCAAATGGTACAAATTACTTTACTTTGATAAAACCACTTTTGTGAATTTATAAATAAAACATGCATAAACACAACATATATATATATATATATATATATGTGTGTGTGTGTGTGACCCTGGACCACTCATACAATGTATTGTTGGCTATTGCTACAAATATACCCCAGCGACTTAAGACTGCTTTTGTGCTGCAGGGTCACATTAATTTGACATTTCACGTGGAGTGTTTAGAGGCAAATGAGGATGCATTTAACATTTGTGCATTGTTTAATCAGCTAGACTGTGTGTGTTGTTGTGCACGTGTTCAGGAGGGCTCAGACAATGAGGAAGAGGAGCGTGAGGAGGAAGAGGAGAACACCGACTATCTGACCGACTCCAACAAAGAGAACGAGATGGATGAAGAGAATAACGTGAGTGTGAGGTCGGGCTGAGGCGGAGGTTTGGCTGTTTCTCTGAGCTCTGAGCTAACGCTGATGTTTGTGTCGCTCAGGAGGTCACTCTCCGCGGCGGAGGACTCAAACACGTGGCGTGTGCCGAGGACGAGGACTTCATCCAGGCGCTGGACAAAATGATGCTGGAAAACCTGCAGGTGCACAAACACTCTCTAAACCGTCTCCTCTACATGCTTCTGAGAGCAAAACTGACCCTTTTGACTTTCTTAAGATCGTCACATTTGTAGATCTGTGGCTTCAAGTCCAGCTCTGACTGCTTTGAGTTCTAGTGTACTGCTGAAAGTGTGCTTTTATTTGATAAAACTACACCATTAAAGTAGTCAGTAGCACTTGTGTGCTCTATTCCAACCAAGTCATATGGTCTATTTTTATGATGCTTTAATGGTGTATTCTTGTCAGTTTTGGGGTTTAAAAGCTGTGGTCACTATGACCGCTTTATATGGAAAGCAGCTGCTTCGAAATTTTCTAACCACAAAAAAATAACAGCATTTAAGTTTGAAACAACACGAGGAGGGATAAAAATAATCGCTTCAGCTTGAATATTTATATCTGCATTTTTAACATATAGCTGTGCAATGAGAAATTGTGCAGGAAGTAGAAATTAAATAACAATGGTGCAAATAAAGGTGGTTTGAAGTTTATTGATTATTGGTGTACTACTATACTTTTTTTTTTTTTTGTGACTAGATGTTTCCTTTTCTATTTGTGACTAGATGTTTCTTAACAATAAATCTGTATTAATCTTAATTAAGTTAATAAATTAAAATAATTTAGTCAAAATAATATATATTAAAATATATTCATTTTAAAATTATTTTATTTTATTAAATTTGATTATAATTATTATTTTATTTAATTATTATTAATTAACAATTAAATTGGTGCAATAATGACAAATCACATTTAATTCCTCATATAAATAATTTAATTGTTTTTTTGCTACTTCCGGCCCCCTCCTGCACCGCAGACGCAGACGCAGACATCAGCGCCACCATGCAGTTCGTCATGCTCACACGCAAGGGCAACAAACAGCAGGTACAGCGTGTACGTGTGTGTGTGAGTGTGTGTGCGTGTGAGTATGTGTGCGTGTGAGTATGTGCGCGCGTGTGTGTGCGTGTGAGTGTGCGTGTGTGCGTGTGTGTGTGAGTGTGTGCGTGCGTGCGTGCGTGCGTGCGTGCGTGTGTATGTTGGCTTTACTACAGCCGGTTTTTATAGATAATTACAAATAATTATCGCCAATTACGTTCAGAACATTCCAAAAAAAGAAAATGGGTTTGAACTCAACATCAAAAATCTCAATTAATAGGACAAAATGTTCAGAACAGAACAGGGGAAGAGAAGGAGAGAGACTTTCAGATGCAGGTGCTTCATTCAGGTCTGCAGGGTGTGTTCAGGATGTGGCTTTGGGAGTGTAAACTACAGCACACACACACACACACTCTCACACACACACACACACACACACACACACACACACACACAGCGTCTTTGTGTTCATTCTGCTGGTGTCTCAGTGACCAAGTTTAACCCTTCACAGTCTTTCAGAAACTTGACATTCAGAAACTTGTTTTCTTTTTGTCTCTCTCACTACATTTGTGCCGCCAGAGCGTTTTTAACATATAGCTGTGTGTGCAATGAGAAATTGTGCTAAAAAAGCACCAAAATAATAACAATAGTGCAAGTGAAGTATTAATATCTACAATTAGTATGTAAAATAAATTTAATTTATGTAACATTTAGTAAAAGTGAAAAATATTTTTGTGATCTTTTTTATGTGATCTTTAAGAATAATTTAATATCGATTATTTAATCATTTAATATTTAATTAATTAAAAATGTAAGTAAATTCTAAAATAGTGCAGAATAAATGTAAATAAAATTAATAAGTTAAAAACAATAATTAAATTATTTAAACAAGGAATTAAGCTAGGAGAAAGTATTTTAACTAAAAACAAGGACAAATATGGCCTTGAATTCCTTTTATAAATAACGTCATTATTTTTGTTACTTTTTGATACTTTCTTAGAGCCAAGTAAAATAATTTAATTGTGTGATATTTGTATATTTTTGTTAAAGTTAATATCTTAGTTCATCCACAGAAATTACATGCAAGATCTTAAATAAATTAAGTAAAAATGTAATTCAAATATTAATTATTGCATAAAATAAAATAAAATGTAATATAAAAAAGGTAACAAAAATAAATGATTTAAACAAGTAATTAAAGATGATATTTGTCATTTCATTGTTAAAATACTTTCTGATAGTTTAGTGTCTCTGTGATCTGATGAGGAAACTCTGTGTGTGTGTGTGTGTGTGTGTGTGTGTGTGTGTGTGTGTGTGTGTGTGTGTGTGTGTGTGTGTGTGTAGTTTAAGATCCTGAACGTGCCGCTGTCGTCTCATCTGGCGGCGAATCACTTCAACCAGCAGCAGGCGGAGCAGGAGGAGCGCATGCGCATGAAGAAGCTGACGCTGGACATCAACGAGCGGCAGGAGCAGGAGGACTATCAGGGTGAGCGCTGACGCTGCTTTCTCAGGCCCTGTCTACACTGCTGCAGGTCCTCGTCTACACTGCGTTTCAGAAACGATCTCTGTCCACACTGTGCAACCGGAAACACTAGTGCTGTCAAACGATTAATCACATCCGCAAATATTGTCCAATCCTAACAAACCATACATCAGTGGAAAGCATTTATTCAGCTTGACTCAGATGATGTATAAATCTTAATTTAAAAAAAATTGACCCTTATGACTGGTTTTGTGGTCCAGGGTCACGTATATTTAATGTATATAATATAAATTATATATAAATAAAGACATGTAAATATATTTATATGTGTGTGTGTATTTATATATACATAATAAATATACACCGTACACACATATTATGAAAACAAAAACATTTATTTTGTTGGCAATTAATTGTTTGACAGCAGTAAAAACACGTCACATGGCCATTCATGCAGGTGCAACCATAGACATGTACAGGTAGATTCCCTATTATTTAGATGTCAGATGCGTCTACATGCTTGGAGCGGTCGAATGGGGAATCTACCTACACATATCTATGGGCACAACAGTTAGCATGATGTTAATGTTTACACGGTTGTCAAGGATACGCAGAGCGAAATGTGAGCAGCCTCGCCATCGTTTTCAAAAGTCTCCATTTTGGTCCTTTTACACTGAAACACAGCGTTTTCAAACTGGAACGGGTTCTGCAGCGTATTCAAAAGTCTGTGTTTCGAGGGTCGAAAACGCCGGAGTAGTGTAAACGACAGGCGTAACCGTTACCAGTGTAAACAGGGCCTCAGTGTGTCTCAGCTGCTGATGGAGCGTCTGCTCGTCTGTGCTTTCAGAGATGATGCAGTCGCTCGCTCAGAGACCCGCTCCCGCAAACACCAACAGAGAGCGCCGGCCTCGATACCAGCACCCCAAAGGAGCACCCAACGCAGACCTCATCTTCAAGACCGGCGGCAGGTCAGACTCACACACACACACATATAATTATATCATTATGAGTAAAAATAACACACATAAAACTTTTTACAAAATGGATAGTACCAACTTTCTAAATAGATTTGACTTTGCTTATCATACAATATGTCAGTTGCAAAGCATTTTGGGATAGTAATGCCCTAGCAAAAACCCACAACTAGGGATGCACTATTAAAACCAAAATCATGAAATGACTTCTCAAATCACAAAGACTGCATTTTAACAATAGTAATAATTATTATTTTGCCTAACATTTACATTAGTAGTATTAATATTGATATTTTATTTATTTTTACTTATTTAAAACCTTTATAAAAATTTATTTAACTATTATTATCATTATTACATTAGTAGATTGATATTTTATTTATTTTTACTTATTTAAAACCTTTATAAAAATTTATTTAACTATTAACTATTATATTATTATTATTATTATATAAAAAAAAATTATATATATATATATATGATTGAATGAAATATGCCAAGAATTGAAATGAACGTCTTTTTTAATCTGCCATAATAGACCTATATATAAGATTCATTTGGTGCAACACTGGATGATTTTACCTTTTTTCAGATTTTAGTGGCTTTTCACTGTATGTAGACGTTTTTTTTCTCATACATGACACGTTCATTGGTTTACACAGAATACCTTGTGCATTGGAGCACAGTCATGCTAATGAGTTCACTAAAGTAATCTCCAGCGAAAGGTCAAGTTGTCAGATTTTTAACCTATGCATGCTGACGCACACACTGCGAGGCAAAGGGTTGGGAAAATGGCTACCCACCACACCACATTTGAAATTTCGGAATAATTAGTAAATAGTTAAGAGTTTTCTGTAGACGTTAGCCTTAGGCTTGGCTTTGTGGGGATTTTTTTCTTTCGCTAAAGGTCATAGCTCAGGATAGCATTTGCACTCTTCCTGCCCTTTTCCCCAGCGCTCCTCCGACTGCTCTCTTCTCTCACACGATGACAGAAAGAGCAAACACACACATGCTCGGCGCACCTGGCCTTACAAGTTTTAAGTGTGAAATACCAATAGCAAGCACAACAGAATACACACCGAGGTGTAACCTTTTGACATTTATTACGGTGGTCTAACATCTTTTATTGTGAAATCCCTAGAGAGGATAACACTCTCTCCCTAAAGGCAGGAATAAAGTTTGTTTTTAAACGAAATGGATGAGAGAGATCACGAATGGAAAATAGGCTGGGGCCGTCCCGTTTCTCTCTATTTCTGTTGTTACAGTAGGTGGCTCTGTAGGATGGTGTTGGGAGGATGTAAGCATGATGTGACCTTACACTCCATCAGTGAACCCTGAATGTCATATCTCGTGGCAAAGGCTGAGTTTGATCTCCTCATGGTGCATCATTTGTTCCTCCCTGGTGGGGCAAAGTCTTTGGCACATTCATCTTTTTTCTCATTATAGCCACACTTCATAATCTTTCATTGGGATTTAATAACTTTCTTTGCTTCTAAAACAAATTTTCTGCTGACATAACCAAATCTGTGTAGGTAGGAAAATGAACAGTATAAATATATTATTCAGTCAAATCCAGATTGAAAAAATGAAGTCCTTTTCTACATTGTTTCCCAATGTATATTCTTTTAGAAATGTGCCACATATAAATGTTGCACTAGGTTGTTTCATATCTGCAGTCTGTATATTTTGGTCTTTTCGGTTTTCATAGTAGTCTAGTAGGTATGAGAAATGTAATGTCTCTTGCTCCTGGCCAGATGTAATATTTGACTTGTTTAGTTATGATCCCTTTTTGCCATGTGCACAATATATAGCATGGTTCTTTTTCTGTGTTTCGGAGATACTGGAGTGTGTGTGTGTGTGTGTGAGTGAGTGTGTGTCCCCTAATGCAGAGAAGTCATGCTTCTGTCAACGATTTGTGCAAATCCATCCCTGCCAGTCTGATCACAATAAAGCACATTTACTGTTGGTTAATTATGGGAATTTAAAAGAATAATTCACCCAATAGTGAACATTTATTTGCTCAAATTCGTGTCATATCAACCACTTATGACAGATTGAGAGACAGATTTGTGCTAGTATTTTTTTCTTTTTCTGTGGGGCACACAGAGGGGACATATTTAAAGAATATCCTGGCTGATCTTTTCAATATAATAATAGTAAATTGAAGATCAGGGCTGTCAAACTCCAAAATGAAAAAAAAAAAAAGACAAAAAAGCACTGGTATTAATTTCTTGAGTTCAACCCAGTGGTTTAGTGATCTGTAGTGAATAATGACTTAAATTTCAGCCTGTTTGTCACACACAGCTATTGTATGGCTTCAGAGGACTTGGAATATATTGCATAAGTCATATGGAGTGCTTTTATGAGTACATTATAGCCCCAGTCCTCACTCACTTCCATTATATTGCAAAAGTTGCCAGGATATTCTTCAAAAATTCACCTCATAAAGTATGTCCAGCAAAAGAAAGAAAACCATTTGGATACTAAACGAAATGATAGCAAGTTAATAATGCCAGTATTTTCATTTTGGGTTAACTTTCTATCTGTTACATTGGATGTCTTTTTTATGCATCATTCAGTGATATAAAATCATAGAATTGAAGTAAACATCTGGACAGGTGAATCGCCTTGGCCAACTGAATGAATGTCTCACTCATTCGTTTCCCGAACATTTTTAACTTAAACAAATACATCATAATGACATACACAAGAAAAGAAATGCGGCACTGAAGGCCTCTGAGAGCTCCCTGTCTTTCACTATACTTTCAAATGCAGTTCCTGAATACAATACTTGTCATTTTGGAGCAAGAGCATCTGCTAAAAGCATAAATTGTACAGTCTCTGGAAACACAGCAGCCCAGTCCCGTTTTCATTTTTAATCTAAATTCAATCGTATGTGCTCATGTGTTCAATTCACAACACCCTACCAGCAATGTAAAGATTTTTTTTATTTTTATATATATATATATATATATATATATATATATATTAGTATGAATTATATAGCATTATTATTAATATTATTATATTATGTTATTACATTTTAGTTATTTTATTTATTGTTTTTTATTTTATTATATATTGTATTGTATTTATTGTATTATTCTTCTAAAAAGAAATAATAATAGCAATAACTTATTTTATCATTTTATTCATTACTACTATTATTTTATAGCGATACTGATATGTAATCAACATTTTTGTCCAAATTGTGCAGCCCTACAAACAAGCACAACAAACCTGGAGCTTTATTTAAAAATATAAAAATTCTACTTGCAAGTTTGATCTATAAAAACAATAAAATTAGTAAAAAAAAAAAATCACCATTACGTTTTTCTCTGAATTGTGCAACCTAGATAGGCAACTCACTGACCCCTGACCTTTGACCCTGTGCACTGCAGGAGACGTTGATGATGTCAGACCGAGCAAACGACGAGTCAAAGACAGCAAGAGAGAGAGAGAGATGGACAGCGGTGCTGCGCTGGAACCGAGACACACCCACCTGACTGCAGCGTCACCACGGCAACCAGAGACGAGCCGCATCAGCTGGTGGACACTGATGGAAACACACACACACACACACACACACACATATGCAAGACTGAAATGTCTCTGCATTGACACACACAACGCGGAGGTGGTTTTATTGTGTCAGGTACAGTTTGATGGTTCGATAGCGAGCGAACCGAGACTCCAACGGAGGAAAACTCAAGTGTTTTTGTTCTTCAGACAAACTTTGGGACGTGTTCTTGTTCTTTCTCCTGCTGTTTATTCTCTTTAACCTCAGCCGGTCCGCAGCGATCGTTCCTGAGCGAGACGTGCATGGGCTGAACGCAGCTGTTAACCTGTTCGCTGTTGCAGTAAAGTGACTTCCTGTGACCGTGAGAATGTCTCTCTTTGTGTCTGTGCTCTCAAACACACTCACCAGCTTGTTTTACAGCCGTCGTGAGTCGCTGAACTCACTAACTAGTGCAGCTGATCAGAATGCAGTCGAACCGGACGCAAACACACGCCTGTGGGTGGAACAGGTAAGATCTAACCGAGGTTTCTGGCGATACGCTTGAGCCGAAAACCAGGAAACAGGAACGTCTGTTTCAAGCATCTTTAAAGTCACAAATTTGATGAAGAACAACTTAAATCCCCAACGGAGGATGTTTTAGTACTAGATTTGCAGCTCATTCTGTCCAGACACATTATTAAAACTCATAAAACCACAATATGATTACATTCAGACAAAATAATGTACTTTAAATATCACTGTAATAAAACATTAGGGATTTAATTGTCAAAAAGTCTTTTCTTTCTAAATTTCTTAATGCATAGATTTTGTGAGATCCACCTTTCTGCATTTTTTTGATTGAGTTCTTCTCTATTCTGTGTTTTTTGTTTGTATTGTGCTTTGAATTGGTGATTTTTCTAGTCTTTTCATTGACTTTATTGATTAAATGTCACTGTCAAACTTGGTGAACGTTTGTGAAGTTCCTATTTTGCGTCTCCAAACTCAACATTATCTGTAACATTCGGTTCCAACTGAACATCTTCGGACACCATGATGAGTTTCAATGAATTTATTCAGAAACAATCGCTGAAAATTAAAAATCTTCACCAATGCAAGAAAATATACGTTACACAGAGGTGGAAATAAACTGTTGTTTTGTTTCGTGTGTGTGTGTGTGTTTATATAGTGTCACATGCTCACAATCATGCATTCTGTGTCCTTCAATAACTGCTTCAATAAAAGCAAAAAACCGGAGTCGCAAGAAAAACAAAAAATCAAACGCACGCATACATAAACTAACACTCATGCTCATTCACCCTGAAAATAACACACTACAGGTAAAAAAAAACAACAGCATGTGATTGGTGGTGATTTCAGTCCCATGTGACTAACAACATGTTCCAGATCTAGATTTGGATGGCTGTGGTTTAGTGTGGGAGGAACTAAACATACATTTACAAGACCTTCTGCATGTTTGAAGGCTGCGGCATGCTGGGAGAGAAAGAAGGAAAAGAGCTCCACCTAACCAAACCCACAATTCAGCATCCAGAGAATAAAAATACATCATCATACAAACTAGAACTACCTGCTGAAATAAACATGAGACGACGTGTAAGATATTTCTTAGGAAGACCCTTGAGGTATTTCTTGCGTACAGTCTGGGTTCTTCAGATATAACACAAAAAAATTGAAGATACTAAAACATAAAAATGAAAGAAACATGAAAGTGAAAGTAAAAATGGAAGAGCAAACTAAATTAAAGTGATAGTAAAAATGTAAAGTGAAAGTAAAAAAAGTGAAACAAAGTCAAAATAAACAGAAGAAAATAGAAAAAAATTTGTAAAATAAAACAGTAAAAGTCCCAAAACTATCAAAACAGTCAAATTCCAAAAACTAACCAAAAGTCAAAACAGTAAAAATCAAACTTAAAAGAAAGAAGAAAAACCAGTAGAAATCCTAAAAATAAAATAGTAAAAATTAAACTTAAAAGAAAGAAGAACAGTAAAAATCCTAAAAATAAAGTCAAAATAAAACAGTAAAAATCAAACTTAAAAGAAAGAAAAAAAAAACAGTAAAAATCCTAAAAAAAAAAAAAAAGTCAATTAAGTTAATTAGATAAATAGTAAATTTGCTTTTTGTATTATTAAATGTAGCAAAAATATAGGAATTAGAAGCATAACCGCAGTGACTCGCACAGAGTCATCAGTCACATGACAATTAAGACTCATGTGATTGGCTCAGTTCTGGAACCATGTGCCCATTAAGCAAAGATGGCTGCAACCAGGCTGTGTGCTTCCAAAGGCAGCATGCTCAACAACTTAAGCAACTACGTTTAAAATGAAGATATATTGTTTAGATATGCTTGGGTTCTTTAAAGATTTGATTCTTTTGATCTATAACTTCTAAACAGACAACAACAACAACAAAAACCAGCTGACACCAAACAAGATGTGTGAGTGTTAGTTGTGACTTTTTCTCCAAACTTGCATCTGAAACTCAATCAAGAAGTCTCACTGCTGTCCAACAGATGATCATAAATCCTGCTCTGACCTTCTGAACTTCTGGAAATCTTAAGGTAATGCCAATATTGTTTGTGCATATATATATATATATATATAATATGATTGGTTGAAATCAGTGCTGGATAGTAACTGATTATCTTTAAATCTGTATCAAAAATTAAATACTTTATATTGTTTTAAAATACTCTTAATTAGACTAGTTGCTTTAGTATAGATTAAATATTCACAAAATGGCAGTAAACTACTCACAATGTATTAATTCTCCCTAATAATCCACTATTTACAAACATCATTTCACTTTTAAGAAGCATTTTCTCAATATTGCATATCTAATCACCTGATGAAAATATATTATTTAAATTATCACTCAGTGAGTCATTTAACCCTTTTAATGCTTTTTTTTTTTTTTTGTCAGCTGAAACTCTTTGATGTTATATATTTTTAATATATTAATATAAGTCTCCCTGAGATTTTAGGTAGATAATTATGAATTAAGTCAATAAGTAACACATTTGCATGTTCACGGTTCTCTGATGTTGGTTAATGGTCACAAGTGTTTTTATTTTAAAACTATTAACATTTTTAAAATTGAATTAATTTTTCATGAACTTACAAACTTGCTACAGTTCCTCCACAAACCTCAATTTTGGAAAGACTAATGTAGTGTTTATCTGTGTACAATTTATGTAATGAGATTTATTCTATTTTACTTTTTTTTTATATCAATATGGTATAAAATTATTCTATATAAAAAGTTAGGTCATCTAGAAATCTAAAAGTAATCAAAGAGTAGTCCGATTACGTTACATGAAATAATATGATTACTAACCACAATTCTTGCCATGTAATTTAGTAGCAAACTACAACTTTAAGTAATCTACCCAGCACTGGTTAAATTATAGCTTATCAGTTGTTTCTGTACTAGAGTCTACACATTATTAGTTAGGGTTAGTGAACATTTGTGACCCTGGAGGACAAAAGCAGTCATAAGTCGCTGGGGTATATTTGTAGCAATAGCCAACAATACATTGTATGCGTTCCAGATTTTCAAATAGTTGTATCTCAGCCAAATATTGTCCTATCCTAACAAACCATACATCAATGAAAGCTTATTTATTCAGCTTTCAGATGATGTATAAATCTCCATTTCACAAAATTGACCCTTAAGACTGGTTTTGTGGTCCAGAGTCACATTTAAGACGTGTTCCTCAGCAGTCCTAGTTTGCGTAGTGCATCACGTCTGGCCTCATCTGTGGCTCCTCTGCCAGAAAACTGCACCGTTACTCCCTGAGTGCGGAAGGAAGGCTTTGGCAGAGATTTGCGGCGTAACTCCGGGGACAGCAGAGTGGGGCGCGACCCGGCGGGACTCAGCAGACTTTGGTGTCGTGATGGTTTTGGAGCCGGAGCGGGCAGCTGCTTCACGGGCGCTTCAGAGTGCGACGCTTTTCTCTTGGGTAAGTCTTCATTTGAAGTCCTGTTTGAGCTGGAGTTTTCCTCTTTTACTGGGGTGATGGTCTTGGTTTGGGTGCGATGGTTTGGCTGGGATGGAGTCATAACTCGCGATCTGCCGCCGAAGTTGTTGATCTGAATCTCCGAAGACTCTGTTTTGGGCAATGAAGATGAGACGCACTCGCTCCTGAAGGATGTTGTTGGGTTTAATGTGATGCTCTTACCACCATAGCTGTTAAAATCACTGTGTGTGACTTCGGCACTCGTCAAAGTTGGTGCAGGGCTAGATTTGGTTTGGCAGTGGTCTGTAGTGTCTATCGTGCGGACGTCGCCGCTAGCGTTAGCTGGATTGGGAATGTTGAACGTGGTGCCAGTCTTGGCGCTTTCCAAATCCCTCGGAGATGAATGCATGACGGATTGCCTCTGAGTGAGTCCGACTTTCGAAAGCGCCTCCATCCTATTGGATCCTAGCCGGACATGTAAAAAAACACAGAGTTTTAGTTCAATTCAATTTAATTACACATTATTGTTGGAATTTCTTCCAAAATTTGTCTTGCATCTCAAAGCGTGTCCCACATCAGTTCACATCAATACACTTACACCAATTTAAACAAACAAACAATAACCACACCTTAATGCAAAAACCAACAATACAAAAATATATACACACACCGCCAGAGTGCATTAATATAGTAGTTCTTTCTATTTTACTGAACCCAGAGGCCTACTTTAATTTTACAGACTGATAAACAAAAGATGTACGTGTTCTGTTCAGTCTGGTATATGCAACTCTAAGCCCTCTGATATTCCTCATATAAAATGTGAGAAGGGCCAGACATAATTTTTTCTGACAGGTTCAGCATTTCTTTTCTTTTTGTTGTATACAGATCTTGAAAACTTGGCTCTAAGCACTTGGCCCACAATTTTAGAACAAATAGAACAGAACAAATAGTGCAGTTTTACTTATTTAAATATATTGATTTAATTATAAATTATTAAATTTATAGGTAGAAATTAAATCTGGTTGACAATTTTAATTTGGTTTAAATTTTTCACTTTAATATTTAATGGATTTAATGTGATGCTTTTACCACCATAGCTGTTAAAATCACTGTGCGTGACTTCGGCACTCGTCAAAGTTGGTGCAGGGCTAGATTTGGTTTGGCAGTGGTCTGTAGTGTCTATCGTGCTAGCGTTAGCTGGATTGGGAATGTTGAACGTGGTGCCGGTCTTGACGTTTTCCGAATCCCTCGGAGATGAATGCATGACGGATTGCGCTCGCCTCTGAGCGAGTCCGAGCTTCGAAAGCGCCTCCATTCTAGACTTGTCTGGCGTCGGATCTCGAAACGAAATGCTCCGCATGGGAAGGTTGCGCACGCAGGCCGGTTCTCCGCCATCCAAAGGGTGCGCCGGGCCGGAGAGGTTAGCGAGCATCTGCGCCCGGCGCTCCTGAACGCTGACGGCCTCAGTGGCGATCGAGTGGGGAATGTGTTCGCGGCTGCTCCGCAACATGCTGATGCTGTCGGGAACACGCATGGGCTTGGCGTGAGTCGGAGGGCCGTGTTTGGCCGAGGGGTTCGGCGGCGACTCTAGACTGCGTCTGCGCTGGAGCAGCTGCGATGCAGATGTGCCGCTGGCGCCCTGGTGCTCGGCGATCTTGCTGGCGATTACAACCGGGGTGGGAACTGAACCTGCGGGCGGCTGGTGTCCAAATTCCTCTTGCGGCCCGTCTGGGACGTCCAGGTCACGTTTTGGCTTCAGTTCAAAATGGGTCTCTGGGGGTATAATCAGCTCTTGGAAATCTGACAAGGCAAACACATTTACAATTGCATTAATGGACGCTGATGGTGCAAAAACGTAATCTTGTGTAGTGACAACACAATGTATAAATGTGACCCTGCAGCACAAAAGCAGTCATAAGTAGCACAGGTATATTTGTAGCAATAGCCAACAATACATTGTATGGGTCAAAATTATCGTTTTTTCTTTTATG